TCCCTGAACACTTACAATATGTGGAACTGCTGTATAATTCTGGAGATAATAATGCAACAGTGAGGACTCTTATGCCATTGGATGTTGATTCTATTGAGGTATTTTTTCACTATGTGTAAATCCTAAATATATTTTTTTGACAGATGACAAAAAGCAACACTGAGGCATAAATTTTAAGTCGTCATTCTCCCATGGTACTGTTTGGTATTCCAAAAAAATTGATTCATCAGAAAGTACAACATAGACTTCAATATGTGCCTTTCAATAAAACCTTGGTAAAATGTCTTCCATTTCCTATATGGAAGGACTGTAAGTTAACTGTAAACTTATCTGGGATCTTATAGTCAAGATGTTTCTTTCTTAAACACTCATTGTTGCTTGTAAAAAAACTGTGTAAATAGTTAGTTTAGATAGTTGTTACTTTTATTGAAACTTGTATCTCAATAACATCTAAGTAATTTTGTCGGAGTGAGATTGATCAGATATAACTTGATAAAGGTGATCCTTTATCATGTGAGCATTTGAAGTATTTAACTGTGCACAAGAATAAGTCCACGGACGTCTGTTGGTTGATGCATGAAAGGAATCAAATGCAGGTCCTTCTTCCCAGCCATGACTGCTCTGAAGGGCTACAAAGCATCTGTAAAGCCACAGTAATGTTTTTGATCATTGAAATTGTCTCTGCAAATGCAGATGATGTGGTTCTGCTGAATAAGTGGAGACCATTTTTGTGGACTTAATTTTTTCAGAAAGGCACTGTGCTAGACAGAACTGCACTGTACATATTAAAAAAAATTAAGACTTCTACTTGATGAAGAGACTTTACATTTGCATTTCTTTTTTGGATATTTTACAAATATCATACTGGATGTCTATTTCAAAAAATATTCCAAATGGATTAAAACATTCTCTTGCAATTTTATGCTACTTCTTATCCTCCTTACTCATATTATTCTCCCATTTCCTGTAAATTTTCTATCAGGAAGAACAGATGGGTGCATGGATGGTGGAATGTGGATGGGTGGTTAGCAACCAATCAAAAATGAGAATTGATTATCTCACAATTGATATGTTGTAGAGTATAAGAGAATGTAATTTGGTGCAACCTACTGAAATCAGAAAATCAGCTGAAGTATGCCCGTTACTGAATCACTGTCAGCTTGGAATGGCCTGCCTGAGGATTCTGGTACCAGAAGTTGTTCTGGAACATTTTACCGTTTATATGTATTTACCAACAACCATATTAGGAATTCATAGATAATGCAAGAAAAAAAATAAATGTTTACACACATTATTTATTTCCTTGCTTGTTTATTTTAGACTGACCATCTCTTTTATGCTGTTGCTTGCAAAAGGATTGGAACGGTAAGTCAAAGGCAGGCGTTATCAATTTTTTTCCTCTACATTTTATGCAAATTATTATTTTTTGAAATATTATCTCATGTAAAAGATATGATATAGGAAGTTATTGAGTGTTTTACAGAAAAGGTGCAAAACGGAACAAGAGTTATTATTTTGAGAAAACCCAAGGTAAATTTTTAAAAAGTTAATTCAAGATTACTTTTCATAAGCTTTCTGCTCCATTACTGGGAAAGGTAACCTGACTCTTTGACTACAGAGTATCATGTGATAAATGTTTAGAACAAAAGGGATATCTCTTTGAAGTGAAGGTCTTATTTATATTAAAAGATTAAATGTTAGCTATATTTTCCACAGCTCCCTGATTTCATTGCTAATACGCTTTTTATTTCCTTTATGAAGTCTGACACGATAGAGAATGCACGTGATTTAATCCTACAGGATGTAAATGACAATTCTCCAGAATTTCTACAAAGTAACTATAGCGCTTCAGTATCAGAGGTGAGATAATGGCAAATGTTGATATTTTTATTGTGATATTATTTAATTACTTTTTGGAGCCAGAACGTGTACAATTCTAATGCAGCCACTTAGATATAACATGATTACATGCCTGCTTGTGTGACTTTTCTACAACCTAGCATAGTATGGAAAAGAGAGACTGGTCGGCATGCACAGCAGGAGATGCAGAAGGGATGGATTCTTCAGCTATCTGAACTCAAATGGAAAAGTGAAATAATTTACACATGCCAGGGAGGTGCCATAGTTTTTCTGACAGTAATAAGGAGGGAAGCCAGAAGAGTTTTGTGATGGAACATTTAATTTTGTTTATTTTCTCTAGGCATCTGAAGTAGATTCCACAGTTATAAAAGTGGAAGCTCAGGATAAAGATCTGTCACCTACGTTCAACCTCATTATTTACAGTCTTTGGGTGAGTACCTGCTGTTTGTCAGGGACTGTGAACATTAGTCTACATTTCGTACCTAGTACAGACTTGAACATGATCTACAGTGTGCTATTTTACACATTACAGTTATTGTTGCAAATGTGCAAAATATTAGTGTCAGAAGGGGCATGCTGCTTTATGGAAAATATAGTTGGACCAAAGAATGACTGTAACGATTCTTACAGTCTTACAAACAACAATTCTTACAAATTCTATTTTAAGTACACAAAGACTAATATTCATCTAATGAAAACTGCAATCTGTAGTAATACATCACTTTATGCTACCTGACTATCTTTTTCAAGCCATCTAGATCTATTTATTTTAATCTACTCCAGTCCTTTACCATTAGAAATGTGAGAGAAGGAAGCACCCCCAGAAGCTGAGAATGTTTTTTATTTTTCATGTTGTTGAAGAAAGGGAAAAAGGTGTGTTGCTGTATAGATTTTGGTTTTCAAGGGGAGACTACCTAATACATAATCAGTTGTACAGTTTTGTTCTGAAAATATGGAAATAGTAAGGCATGAAATCTTTTCATATTGAAACATCACATTCCACACACTTTTTCAGTACTCTGGGAGCTTTTGGATGAAGAGCATGTGAGTTTCCAGGTAATCAAAAGAATGTGGAAGAGATAATAGAATCTGATGAAGAGGATTAAAGTTTTTCATTGTGGTGGTGTTGGGAGCTTCTTTGTCCTTTATGAATAACAGCCCAATAATGAAGGTGGCAACTGAAAAGAAAATGTATTTCATAACTAATTATATAAAATATATGACTTTTTTAATAGGGCCCAAACTCTGATTATTTTTATATAAGGGAAGGAGATGGGAACGTCATGGTGAAACAACCTTTGGATTACAACAAGATCAGTGTTTTCAATTTAACAGTGCAAGCAAAGGTATGGTATAAATATGTGTATAAATATATATTTCTGGAATGAAGCACTTCCTCTGACAGCAAAATAAGACACAGAATAGAAATCCTTCCAATTTCATTGCCTCTTTCTGACACACAACACTTGAGTTAAAAGAAGAGTGAGAACCAGAGTAGTTCTGCAGTGATCCTTCCTTTTATGCAACACCCCAACTTCCAGCAGCATACAACTTCAGAAGTTTCCAAACCAAAAGTTTCATCTGCATCTTTTACGCTTAATTGTGCAAGATGAAAATTTAATGAACTTATTAGTTATCTGTTAGACCAATTTGTGCTTTGAAACATGATGTTTTTGTTACCAGTTGTGTTGTGTTAAAAAGATACTTCTGTTTATCTCAGAGCAGTTTCCTGGAGTTAGTGATTTACTACTTTTAACTAAAACTTCAGGTCTGAACATGGCTCTTGTATTAACGTGTTTTCTTATTTTCTTCTTTTTATTGGGATATAGGAAAGATTTGGAACCAACAGTGGAAATGCATCATTACTAATTAATGTACGGGATTATGACACGATGAACCCCTATTTCAGTCAGTCAGTGTACAATGGAACAATCGAGGAAAACCAGGTAAAAGCATTTTGCTGAATGCTACAAATATAAAAAGCATATTCCTGTCCAGTGTGTTTGCTCTCAAGGAATCTTTGTCATTGAGCAACTTAAGATGCTTTAAGGAAGGATTCTTTGTTCTGAGCTAGCTAGTGAAATTTATGGTTCTTAACTGTGGATTTCCAAATATGAGGCAAGCAGGCTACATATTACATGAAATATAAGGCTTTCTGACACAAAAACACAAATCCTTCTGCCATTTGAGAGGAGAAAAAAAAAGTCCTTTGTCCATTTCTAAATAGTGTAATTTCTTTGTACTTCATTATTTCATTACAATCAGGTAGGCAAAATAAGAATCTCAGCTGTGATCTCTGATTTATATGGTGTTGTAATATTCTTTCTACATAGGGGGAGGGAAGGTAATATAATTTGGGGTGGAATGTATTTAACTCTGATTTCTGTATTTATTGAAAAAAAATATCTCAGACTAGCATTACTAGAGTAACATGCTCAAATTAAAATAATTTAATAGTAATTTAAAATCATTTTAATGGAAAAGATCATGGAAGAGAGGTTTTTTTGATCTAAGTAATCAAGCATATATTTCTTATTTTGTCAATCAAAATTGCAATTTACTTAATGCACACATTTAAGTCGATGTGTATATTTTTAAATTAATGTTATGTACGTTTTCTAGATCGGTCCTCTGACTGTTCTCCCAGAGGATATATTAGCTAAAGATGGAGACACAGGTATAAATGAAAAAGTGCTTTACAGCATCAAGCTAGGTAAGATCCTTTACTTTCTTCTGCACACATGCATTCAAGATGTTACTTGTGATGTCTGTACTACTGAAGTGCAGTGTACAGCCAGTCAATGTCCCAGCCTTGTACATCTTCACTACGCTACTTCTTTGCAAACTGGATTAACTTAGTTTCCGTGACTATAGAAGGGCCTCAAGGTTTCAGAAGCGTGTAGATATTTTTAACATCTCCCAAATAAACAATTACTGATTCAAAGTGCAGTAGAGTCAACATAGTGTTTTCCACTTGATTAAAGGATTTCAGTTCAGGACCATTTGGAGAGACTAATTTCATGGGGAGATATGTCGCCTTCTGACAGGGACACTAAAAGACCATGAGATGCTTAATTTGAGAGCCCGTGTTAGTGAATTTCCTAAGAATTATTTCAAAGACAAAATACTGGGGATCAGAAATGTCTGGTAATTTTTATTGGGGCTGAGGATCATCCAGTCATACGAAGGACAGATCAGGTTTACAGTTCTGGATCAATCTCACTAACCCATTCTGTTTTGCTGGTTTTCAGTGAACCCTGTAGTCTACAGCAACACTTTTTCAATCGATGCAGACACTGGAGTACTACAAGTAAATACTGCAATTGACAGAGAAGAATGTCCATATCTTCTTGTTGTCATTGAGGTAGTGATAATTTTGCAGCTCATTGTGTTACTACAGTCTAAATTTCATCAACTCATGTCAGAATCTATGTTTAGTATTAATAGAATTAATAGCTTAGATTAGTAGTAAAATAGTATTAATAATATTTATTATATATTTTTTCATAGTAGTGGTAGGGGGGCAATTGCTACCAACATTCCATTGTGCAAGTCATTTAAAATACAGAATAAAGGAAAATTTATTTCAACAAATGTGTCACGTCATGTCATTGTACTAAGGTAGAATGGCTCAACGTTATAAGGATACATAATTTACAGCTATAAACTCTGTTTTCTAGGCAGCTCAGCAAGACAATAATCTTAAAACAGCTGATGCAGTAGTGTTGGTTTCTATTGAAGATGTGAATGACAACTCTCCAGTATTTTCACAATCAAATTACAATGTCTCAATTCTAGAAAACTTCCCGGATGGGATGCAAGTTCTTCAAGTAACAGCTACTGATAAAGATGAGGTAAAATTATAATATGGTTATGGGTGCAAATGTTACACTTCTGTAATATATGATAAAATGCATTTTGCTTTATGTAGGCATAGTGAATAGTAGTGTAGATTTTTTTTCTGATTTCCTCAATTTAATAAACCAAAACACACCGAATTTCACTTCTTTGAGGGGGAGGATATGGCAGCCAGAGATTAAATTTTGGCTGTCTTTGAAACTCTTCCAGTTTGCAGAAGTTGCTGAACATGGAAGTGCAGAAGTGCAAAATGGACACAAAGCTTTTAATGTCCCTCAGCCTGTGTTGCTCTCTCCTCTCTCTTTCTGTGGAAATCAAAATTTTAATTAAACCAGAAGGTTAAATGCTTTCCCACATGAAAACTGAAAATATCCTAAGAGACTAGCTCGATAACTGTCTTATTTAATCACACGTATCATTACTGTTTGCAGGGAGGCTTCCAGGGAACATTCATTCTCTATCCAGCTGACAGTCCCTTCCAGCTAAGTGAAGCCGGGATCCTAACAGTGAAGAACTCCACACTGTTAGACAGGGAGAAAATTCCATCTATTCACCTACAGGTATTAAAAATAAGCCCACTCTTCCCCAAAAGTAGACTGGGATACACAGATGATATCCCATCTGTCCTGAAGAGAGGCTGGCCAGATTCTGAATCACAGTGATATATATTAGAAGCAACTTACTTGAAGAATCAAATCCAGACTTTCATGTTAGAGTTGTCTGGAAGAAATACTTCTAAAGCAATGCTTTTTACTCAAGATATAAAAATATTCTGAGCTTCTTACTGTTTATAGAACACACACTTGAAAACATTGTAATTTTGCTGCATCATTTTTAAAGGTTGCTGCTAGAGATCACTTGCCACCTTACTATGAAGTGCAGTCAGCAATCAATATATTGTTGCTGGATGAAAATGACAACTCCCCCACCTTTACAGACACGCCATATCAACGGGAGATTTTCATCAACATGACTGCAGGAATGTCCATTCTCCAGGTACTAGAAGAATTAAGTAAATGTGACATTTTTGCGTGAGTTGAATTTTATGCCTGAGTCCTTGCTCAGTCCCTTCAGCTTGTGTTGGAGTTATACAATTGTAAAGATTTTTGAAAGGCTGCTGAAGCATTGTAGGTGATTTTTAGATAAAGTATATTTTTCATAATATAGAAAATCGGTTAATGAAATAAACCAGAAAACCAAGACAAAAATGGCTTCAGGAACTTACCTGAAACATACAAAGACTCACTCTCAAAATTCCTACCCAGGCATAGTGAGTTAATGGTTCCTGCTGTAATTTCTTGAATAACCTACCTTCATTCACCTTAGAATCACTATGAAACAAACCTTCAGAGACTTGGATGTCTTGGTGCATCCAAGAACAAACATTCTAACTTAGATTTAATCCAGGAGTCACCCAGGAAATAGACAGTCAGTCAGTTAAAGGTATAATAAAAATGCTATGGCTATATTTGCTATTTTTAATAATGCCAGACCTACTATTGCTGTATTATTTTATGTGTGTGTGTTTTTTTCCTCTCCAGGTTGCTGCTGATGATCCAGATGATGGTGTAAATGGAGAGATAAGGTTTATCTTAGCAGGTGGCAATGAAGATGGACACTTTGAATTGAATACATCCACAGGACAAATCAGTTTAAAAACAGTGATCCCCTTAGGAGTCAACGAGCTTAAGAATTTTGTCTTGTGGATTACAGCTACTGATGGTAAGAAGATACAGGTCAACACATCTATCCCCTTTATAGTTTTTATTTATTTTTGTTTTTACTTAAAGGAATGCTGTCAAAATAAACAGGCTCCCATATTTCGTTTCAAAAATAGTGTGTATGTTTATCTGTTCTTATGTGTTGAAGAAGACTGCTGTCTCATTCATCCAAAGTAATAATTGCATCTCTGATAAAACTCCACTTCCTGCTCTTGCTGCTATGTCATATATAAGTTTTCTATTTTTCCATCATTCTTTAACTTAATTATTGTCTGATGTTGCACATGGTAGCACACCCAGATCTAGATTCACACATATTCAATATACAATACTGGAGCAGGGAGTAGAACCATAGAATCATAGAATGCTTAAGGTTGGAACGGACCTCTAGAGGTCACCTAGTGCCACCCCCCTGCACACGCAGGGTCACCTAGAGCGTGTGGCACAGGACTGCATCCAAGTGGGTTTTGAAGATCTCCAGAGTAAAATAAAAGTAAAAATGATGAGCAATTTGGTCTGGTCTTACATATTTATGAGGTTATCAAACAATTAAAATGGAGATCCCAAAGCCATTTCTTAGGAGTCCAGCACAGATATTGTTTCCTTTAATGTTATTTCCTTTAAGAAAGTTTCTTTGCTTGTTCCAAAAGAGCAACAGTCAACTCAGTGCAAGTTCATGATCCAGAAAAGGACAGAAATGAATGTATGGTGTGGTAGAAGCGGTGTCACATTCCTATTAGCATGACCATCCAAAATGTTTTTCAGTGTTTTGATTTTTCCTTATATAATTTGCTCAGTATGAGCTCTGTATCTCTAAATCAAAGTTACAATAGTGATGCACCAGCCTGTCCTTTGGCTGTCTGCTGTGCCAAATGGATAGTATGTTCTTCACGTTCATGCAGGACACTCAGCACATGAAACTCTGGTCTTAGTAAGAATCTCTCAACAGTGTCAAAATAGTGGCAGTAACAATAATAAAATATCAGTGGAAAAGTATAAATTTTAGACAGAAGGTAGTTTGTAGATCAGCAGTGATATTGTTTTGCTTGCAGGTGGGATGACTCCAAGAAGTTCGTCAGTTCCTGTAAAAGTCTTTGCAGTTGGAGATTCCCGTCCTCAGTTTGTTTACAAAGTATATAATGCATCTGTGGAAGAAGAACAGGCCAACAGTGTTGAAGTAACAAGAGTAAGAACAACTTTATTTTATCTCCTGTATAGGAAATGACAGCTGTAAGGAATCCCATTAAAAAAAAAAAAAAGTCTTCTAGTTTTCTACATGTATATCCCTAAGTAGAATATGGATAGCTAAATGTTTTCCTTTCTGCATATTGAGCTTCACCTTTATTGCATACTGATCATGCCACTCAGGTGAAGTCTATCACCCCCTGAAACTCCTTTCTCTCTATTGTAAACCATTAAACAGCATCTGCTACTGTTTAACACAGAAACACACAGCTGCTTGAGAAAGTAAACTTTTATACTTAGCCCTTTGTTGACTTTGGACATCTCCCAAAGCCCAAACCCTAAGACAGAAAATATTTACTCATCTGGTTATAAATCTAAAATTCTGTGACACAATAGCTAGAAAATTGAAACTTACCATTAGGGAACTGACAAAACGGCAGGCTCTATGGTGACTCTGGAAGTTTTTCCCATTTTGATCCAAGAATGCTCAGACAAGTTGGCCACCAGAATGCACTGTGAAAGCACCTTCTTAGATGCAGTTCTGAAAATAGAGAGAGGTTTGCTACTAAAGCAGAAAGAATATAATGAGTTTCAGTGCTTTGATTTAGTGGTTGCCTGAGTTCACTTTTTTCCAGCATTCTTTTTTTTTTTTTTTTTGAAAAGAAAGATAGAACCAAATGTTAAAATATAGAAATACAGTACAGAAAAAGTTATTTTTACTATGTATTATACATACATTATACATATTTGTTTTTGAGAACATTTAGCGATGTTTCAATAAGAGGCAATGATTTTATATATATTGCGGCTTAATTCTCACTACTTATTATAAGTAAAATAATTAGTAAAGTGAGTTGAGACATAGTTAAATCCATTACTATTTTTCTGGCTAGTAGATTATTGCCTTGATTTTTTTTTTAATGATATGCTCTGTCTTACACAGGTAGAATTTGAGTCTTTAAATCCTCATATACCAGTTACATTGAAAGTACTGACAGAATCAGCTACATTTGACATCGATGTCGATGGAATCATCTGGACAAAAACCAAACTGGACTATGAGTCCCAGAAAAATTACATCCTAAATATTTCCTTGTCAGATGGAACGGCTGAAGACTATGCTACTGTGTTTATCACAGTTACAGATGTCAATGACAACAGTCCTGTGTTTGGTGTAACTAGCACTACCATTAATATTCTGGAGAATGTAACAGCTGGAACTACTCTTATCAACGTGTCGGCTACTGATGCGGATGAGGGCTTTAATGGATTTGTGGTTTATGTTCTGAAAGGTGGAGAGGGAAAAACAGATATTGACTCATCAGGATTAATTTTGCTGGAGAAGGAACTGGACAGAGAAACACAAGAAATCTATAACTTAACTGTTATTGCTAGTGACCAAGGTCAACCCGTGCTCTCTACAGCTCTCAATTTGACAGTCATTGTTGATGATGTGAATGACAATCCTCCAGTCTTCGGGGCAAACAGATATGAAATGAGTGTCTTTGAAGATGAAGTGGTAGGGAGGACACTACTGACACTATCTGCTACAGATTTGGATGCTGGGGCCAATGCACTGGTGAAGTACGGGATTGTCAACCAGCTCCCTTCCTCCTTGTTGCCTGTGTTTCATGTCAATTTGACCACAGGTCAGCTCAGCCTGAACCAGCCACTGGATTATGAAACCGTAAAGCAATATGAATTAGAAGTTGAGGCATCAGATGGAGGGCAACCAAGTCTCAGCACAACGACACTTGTTGTTTTCCATATACTAGACATCAACGATAACCCACCAGAATTTAACCAGGCATCTTACGATGTATTTGTTTTTGAGAACATACAAAAAGGTAGCCCTATCTACACATTCAGTATTACTGACAAGGATGAGGTATGTACTAAATTGATCTTGTCTTATTTACCAACATAGTATGATTTCCTCCATTAGCTTAATCTATATATAAAAAAATGGTAGTAGATGGGCTAGGAAAGATATTTAAATGTTTGGCAGTAAATATGGTCTGGGTCACAGAAACTTGATTCTAGCAGGCCAGTAATAAAACCTCCTTTACCCAAGGATTTAAGACTAAACTTCATCTGCAAAATAGTTACCTGGTGCAAAATAGTTACCTGACTACATCAGAAAAGCTGGAGAAGCTGGAGAAAGAGAAATACTTTGTAGTCCAGGTCAGAGAAAGTTGTGTGTTCATAGGCACAGGCATATGGGATGAATACATGTATGTCACACCAGAAATATTATTATTCTTGCTTATAATGTCAAATGATTAACACTGTTTTAACGCAGTTGAGTAATTTGCTTCTGTGTGAGAATATTTGATAGTGTATATCTGTAATGCAATCAACCTGCCCATCGTATTAGTTAAATCAGGGAGAATGAAGTTGTAAGGCTAATATAGTTTGGTTTTCTTTAATAGAAAATGAAACAATTCCACTCCGCTTTATATAAAGTTGTTTCTTTCTTCTCTTCTCTTCTAAAGAAATTTTGAATGTAGCCATGGCAGTGGGGAGCTGCTTTGGAGTCAGAGATTTCTGTTTAGATATATATCCTGTCAGTTTTAAAGAAGCATAAAAGCTTGTTGGAGTTCACAGTGTACTGAGCTTTGTGTTGCTGCTCTCT